TGCAACTAGATTTAGACAGACTACAAAAGTGGGCAGATGAGAATAGGATGGGGTTCAACATAGACAAATGCAGGGTGCTGCACCTTGGGAGAAGGAATCCATAGCATACATACAGGCTGGGGAGTTCCCTTCTTGAAAGCACAGAGGTGGAAAGCGATCTTGGAGTCATTATTGGCTCCAAGATGAACATGAGCCGTCAATGCCAGACCACAGTCAGCAAGGCCAGCCATACCTTGTCATGCATCCAAATGTGCATCTCAAGCCGGTCCAGAGAGGTGATCCTCCCCCTCTATTCGACTTTGGTCAGGCTGCAGTTGGAGTACTGCGTCATGTACTGGGCGCTGCACTTCAAAAGGGGTGTGGCCAGCCTGGAGAGGGTTCAGAGGAGGGCCACCCACTTGGTGAGAGGGCAGCAGGACAGGCCCTATGAGGAGAGACTGAGGGATCTGAACCTGTTCAGCCTCGGCAAGAGGAGGCTGAGGGGGGACCTGGTGGCTGCCTACAAGCTCATCAGGGGAGATCAACAGCAAATAGGTAGAGCCCTTTTCTCCCCAGCACCACTGGGGGTGACAAGGAACAATGGTCATAAACTGATGGAGAGTAGGTTTAGGTTAGCGATCAGGAGGCAATATTTTACAGTTAGGGTGGCCAAAATCTGGAACCAACTTCCCAGGGAAGTGTTCCTCGCCCCTACCTCGGGCAAATTCAAGAGGAGGTTGATCACCTATTTGGGGTCTTGTGAACCCAGCATTCATTCCTGCCTGTGGCAGGGGGTCAGGCTAGATGATCTGTTCAGGTCCCTCCTGACCGTAGCTACTATGAAACATGCAAGGAGTCCGACCAGGTCTCTGTGATCCCTATCAGGTCATATTTCCCACTAGAGAGCAGGAGGGCTACCTCCTCCTGCTTATTCCCCATGCTCCTGGCATTGGTGTACAGGCAGCTGAGGCCCTCAACTGACACCCTCATTTTCTTGAGATGCTGTGGGAGAACTGTTTGGTTAGCATTTTCAAAAACAGTTGTACTAGTATCCTCCACAACAGAGCTTTCCTGTGTGCCAGTCCCGGGGCACGCTCCACTTGGAGTTTCCCCATCCTGCAGCAAAGTCAGTTTCAAGCCCTATCCAGCAGATCAGCCATCCTGGCTGAGAACAGGGCCTTACCTCTCCGCATGAGGTGAATGCCATCTCATCCTAGAAGTCCTCTCTCTCTGAAGTGCATGCTGTGGTCAGGGGAACTGAACCCCTCATGGTAGCACCACCGTGTGAGGCATCTGTTGACTTCTTCCATACAGCCTTCTCTCCTGGGTCTGCGGCCTGCAACAGGGAGCACAGAAAACTACTTGAACCCCTAGTCTCTTGATCCCAGCCCCCAGAGCCCTGTAGTCACTCATGACTTGGTCAGGGTTACCCCTGGCCATGTTGTTCTTGCCCACATGGATGAGGAGCATGGGGTAATAGTTGGAGGGATGGATGAGGTTGGGGATCCTCTCTGCACGGTCTTGGATGTGGGCCCCAGGGGGCAGGAGACCTCTTGGATTAAGGGTTCCAGACGTCAGATTGGTCCTTCCATGCGTCTCAGGAGAGAGTCCCCCCCCACCACCACCTGGCATCTCCTCCTCGGGGTGGGAATACTTACCTCCTGAATACTTACCTCCTTCTCCTGTGTCTCTGCTGGAGACTCCTCCTGCATAGTGAGGAGAGTGTACTTGTTGTGCAGTGCTAGGGGAGGAGTGGCCCTAGCTCTGCATGCTCTGGATCCAGATATGACTATTTTCCAGGTAGCTCTGGGGGGATCTTTGTGGCCAGTCTTCTTCATGGCCTCCTCCTCCCCCTTCTTCTCCACATTCATCCTCTCTACTCCGTTTCCCTGGAGTAGGACTTGGCAGTAGTTGTCTATGTAGTCTTCATGAGCCCTGATGGTGGGTAGCTAGTATACCTCCTCCTCAAGCTCCCACACTCAGCCCTCCAGGGACTACACCAAGGAGCACATCCCACAAGTGGGGGTGCTCCTGTGCTCCGGTGTCAGCAGCCACTGCCACACCAGGCAGCACCTCCAGTCCAGAGCCAGGGCTGCAGGCTCTATCTGGGTGGTGGTCTCAGTGCGGAGAAGCTGAAGCTGATGGGCATGGTGAGTCACTGCCATGGCTGTGAGGTCCTTCTCATACTTACTTGGTCTCAGCAGCACCTGCTCTTTAGGCCTCTGGGCTCAGGCCACGTGCTCAGACCAGGCCTCTGGGCGCCTTCTGTGGGCCCTTCTGCATGTTCTTCCGCGCGAACTGCCATGCGTTAGTCGGGCCATGTCTGTTTGTGCACTCTGTTCATACGGCTTCAGTCACAGGGCTCCCTGGGGGTCTCAGCTAAGTAGGGACCCAGAGAAGGCATTCCCCTCCCAGGCTCTACACAGCCAGCGCATCCCGCCCAGCATGGCCCCACATGCACACATGCATGTGCACACACACACTCCCTCAGCACCTACGAGTGCCCCTGCACTCACCTGCCCTCTCTCATGGCCCAGCTCTTACCTCCTGGCTCTTTGCTGGGGGGTTTGGGTCCAGGTCTTCAGCTCCTCAGGCACAATGGGCATGAACCCATGTGTCTCTGCTGGGGAGCAGTCTTTTCAGTCTTTGCAGGTTAGTTTAAGATGCACAGATTAAATTGAAACAGACGTGAACAGACATTTACATTTGAATCGGGAAATGTAGCCACATGCCTGCAGTGGCTCAGGCCAGAAGGTAGGGGGTACTAGAGCACAGCTCTCTGGCTGTGTGTTCACTCCCTCTTCTTGCTGCCCCCAAGATCGCTTGGATTTGCAATCCAAAATCAGAGCAGCAGGACTCTGTAGGGTTGGTCATCACTGCCTCTTCCTGTTTCTAGGTGCCTTTGGGATTTGTACTCCACATTTGCAGCCAGCAGTAAATTTGAGTGGAAGGAGGGGTTTTTAACCCCCCTCCCTGGCCCTAGACCCCAGCTGGGGTTTGGTTGTGGGGCAGTCCCCACTCTCTAGACTGGGCTGCCTCCCTAGTTGGGCTTGCTTGCCCCCACTCTCCCCTCCTCCCCAACTTTGTCAGCCAGTCCTCACTACTCCAGCTAGGGAACAGAGGGGTGGGGCCAGCCCTGCTCTCTGGAGCAGACAGCCCAGCCCAGCCCAGGGCTGCACCAGAGGCGGGGGGCTGTCCCTGCTCTCTGGAGCAGACAGCCCAGCCCAGCCCAGGGCTGCAAAACATTCTGGGATGCTGGGGGACTATGATTTAACTTGAACCAGGAAGGGGTCTGGGACAGAAGTTTCATAAACCAGTTTGACCCAAATCATTTAAGTTTGATACTACATTCAACTAGGTTTATCTTAAACCAGTTTCAGCCATTTTGAAACTGGTTTATGTGCACTGCACCTCTGTTCTGTTGGAAGTTTAAACCAGTTTCTGGCCACTTAAACCGGTTTATGTGCAACTTCTGTCCCTAGCCCTATTGACTTCAATGGGAGTTGGATCAGAATTATAAGTATCACCGGCTGCATCTACATGAGATGCTTACTGCACAGTAGCTGGTTACTACTGCACAGTAGCATTGCTGGGCGTGAACTGTGATGTGACGTCTACTGTGCAGTATTAATGAGCTACTGTGCAGTAAGCATCACTAGGCAGCCATGCCAGGATACTACTGCGCAGTAACTCCAGTTACTGCACAGTCACCTAGTACTTTGTTATGCAAGCACTAAATGAGTGTGCAGTAACAACTGCACAGGCAGCATCTCATGACCAGTTAAAGCAAGTGGGACTTTTGCAACTGACTTTAAAGAAACCAGGATTTGGTTGTGATTGGAATTGAAATGAGTAGGAATTACATTATGAGACAAATGCTATCTTCCAAGAGAAAGACCACTCTTTTTAAAGATGAGGTCCTAAACACAGCAGTATCCAGCATCAGATTTCCCAAAGTTTGTAGGGCCCTTAGATTTCTTTTTATTAGAGTTTATTATTATAAAAACTTAGAGTTTTTATTTCCCCACAGCACATATGGGTATCAATCCTGAAGACCCTGCTCAGTCTGGGGGTTTAGATTTGGGCTCATGTGTGATATTACATTAAGCATAGAAGAGGCAGAATTTATGAAGCATAATTCATGTGAAGAAGTACAGTACCACAGGCCTTTTATCTACTGCTTCAATGGCAGAGACAAGCAGAGTCAAAACAGAACGTAAGGTGGAAGAAAGTAGCACATATGAGTAACCTGAAGACTACAATCAATGTATTGGGTTGACTTGATCCTGTCTTTCTTCAGCCATACACGCACTTAAGAAGGTAGAAGCAAGATAACAATACTGCTGTTTAAATTATTCATGTTGAATTATTCATTACATTTTAATAGGGAGTAATCATGCAACAGGTGTTTTTCCTCTGGCTTCTTGAATTGCAGTATAACTAGCTCCCAGTTATTGGCCTCAGGGAAAGAAGAAGTAGAACAAATCAGCCTTATTTTAAATTAATTACTGCAGTCCTACAGTGCCTGTCAGTTGTTGTTTTTCTGTTTTATGTCATTGTACAGTACATGTACAAATAGAACTCTGAGACTGAGAGAAAAAATACAACACATGCAATTAACTTTGAAAAAACACCTCAGATTTAGAAACTATGACTCCACTAGTGATGATGTGCCCATGCTAGATCATGTATTAGAAATATTTTTTGAACAGAAGATTAATGAATTGCTAGTATAGTGATAAAAGGGATAAGGGTTATTTTAATTTTACTCTGAAGAGTCATTATAACATGACTATGTATTTTTGGGGACTCATTTTGTGGCTTTTATATTAGAGCATTTAAACAAGACTAATGCTTTACAGAACTTCCAATAGTACTTTTTCTTTCAACTACAAAATACAAGAATTGAAAATATTTTGCTTCATTCCTTTTAATACCCTTGTATTTCTGAACTAAAATAAGAGACATCAATAGGAGATTGGTTTAATACTTTGATAACTTGTTCACCTACATTAAAATGTAATAGATTTTAATTTAGATTCGGGTAAAGCTTCCTGGTTACATACAAATGGGGTGTTGATGTAAATTTTGTGGGTATGATTGTAGGTACCCATTTCTGAAAGCCTGTCTGATGGTGGTACTAGTTAATTTATACAGTGCCTTTCATCCAAATCAGTCCCAAAAGCTTTATAAATTGGCGGACTCCACAGAACCCACAGGTGAAAAGGAAGCTAGAGGCAAGTTTGTCTCTCAATTCTGGCTACTGGAAAATGTGTGAAAAAGCTCAAAAACCCATCATGAGATGGAATGGGACCTAATGGTCAAGGAACATGATCTTTATAACTGGGCATGCTCACCTACTGACCTGGCAATTTCAGTTGCACGCTCCTTCTCCGCATGCCTCTAACAAAAACAATCTAGGTTTGAATGGTGGATTCTGCCTTTTATTACAGAGGAAGATATGTGTGCTATTTTTGCAGCATCTGGCCACATTTTGAATGGCCATTTCTGATATAAGCCCCAATTTGAGCATCATGCTCAAATGCTTAATTAATTTTTGTTGATCCAAAGCAGGAATTCTTTTAAATAAGTATTTTTCTGCAATGTTAGAAACCCAAAGAAAATAGGTTTGTGGTAGTACCAGGAATTTTAACTAAAAACAAAAGGTTGCTTTTTTTTCCATTTTAATAATATAAGGGGTTGTTAGCAGTACAGATTTGGATATACCAGTAGACTGTTTATTATTTTGACACTGTCTCCTTAAAAGAAGAGTATTTTGAGTTGCTACCCAAAGTAGAAACATGACAGAAAGAAAAGATTGGAAGACTGTTGAGTCAAATAATAGATGATCTGCTGCATAGTAAGGATATAGAATTATATTTCTGAACTATGTACTGTGAATATTATAGATGGGAAAACATTACAGTAAATAGTTCTGATTATATGGAAGGCCTTCAACAATATTTTTCTAAATTTGTTATACTGTTGTTTATAATGTTTGTATAAGGGTATCAGCGGGTATGGAGACCAAATTACACCAAAATAAATAATTCTGCTTCAATATACATCTTTGTTATTGGGTACTAGTATATATGTAGACACGTGTTTCAGAATAAAAGAGCCCTGTTGAGTTTTTTACCCCTTAAGGAAAACCATAGAAAAATGGGCATTGGAAGGGAACTCAAAAGGTTATCCAGTCCAACCCCTGCTCAAGGCAGGATTGTCCCCATCTAAACCAGCTCAGACAAATATTGATCTAACCTGCACTTACAAATTTCCAGTGAATTTTTCCACAACTTTTTCTGTGTTATCTGTTCGAGTGCTTAACTACCCAGTTTGTCCTCCTGTGTAACATGTGCTGCCTGAACTGGACCCAATATTTTAGGTCAGGCTTCACAGTGCTGAACGGAGTAGAGGAGTCTTCACATGACTGGTGCATGACACTCCTGTTAAACATTCCAGTGTATTGCTATCCTTTTTTCCCCTGCAACAATATTACATTGGTGATTCATTCAGCTTGTAAATCAACATAACCTCTAGGTCCTTTTCTGCAGTACTGCAGCCTAGCTGGTCATTCTGTATTTTGTATTGTGCATATGATTGCTCCTTCTAAAGTGCAGCACTTTGTACTTTTTGCATGTTGAATTTCATGCCACTTATTTCAGACCATTTTCCCTATTTCATTTTTTAATGTTGTTTGAATTCTAATCCTGTTTTCTAAACTATTTGCTTCCCCAACTAGTTTGGTGTCATCTGCAAATTCAGTTCCATTCATTAATGAAGGTAATAAACAGTACTAGGCCTACACAGACCTCCTGGAGAGCTGCACTTGATACCTTCTCTGATTTTGACACTGAACTACTGATGACTACATTTGGAACATGATTATCCAAACTGCTATCTTTGAGTACTGTCATCCAATCAATCAAATAAGGCACCATTATTCAGAAATAAGTGTCCAGACATTTATTCTGAACTAACAAAAATGTGAATGAAAACTAATTTCATTATTTTATTGCAAGTTGATGTGTAGATCAGCTGATACTATTATATTCACATTATAAGCAGTAATAAATAAACAAAAGGTTTTGCTGCAGGCCTTTTTCAAAACATATGTATGAAATAAATAAAAAACAACTATTTACAGACCAGATGTATTATTGTATTCTGCATCTATATTTCATAGATCTCATAGTCATCAGGGCTGGAAGGGACCTCATAAGATCATCAGGTCCAGCCCCCCGGCCCAAGGGGCAGGAAGTCAGCTAGGGTCAAAGGATCCCAGCAAGATAGGCATCCAAATGTTTCTTGAAAGTGTCCAGAGTAGGTGCTTGCACCACCTCTGGGGGGAGTTTATTACAGGCCTTGGTGACTTGGACAGTGAAGAAGTTTTTCCTTATGTCCAGCCTAAAATGGTCTTGCAGGAGTTTGCGACCATATTCCTTGTCTTCCCTTGGGGTGCTCTGGTGAACAACATTTGAAATTATTTATTAGTGGTTGTCCTGGAGATGTGTGTACACCTAGATACTGAATACTAGAGAATGCTTGCATGATTCAGTTAAGAACAAAAAAGTATTAGTGCCTCTGAAGCTCTTCCTTCTTCTTTTCCAAAAGTTGGGACATCATATTTCTTCTGCAGCAGCAGCCTTTACCAGTAGGATATTCCAGATGTCCATCGTCTCTTAGACAAGGTAAATAATTTATCTCCATTTCCCTTAACAACACAGGACCAAATTCTGATCTCAGTATTAATGTAAAACCAGAGCAAGGACCTGAAACTTCCTTGCCCCAGGATAATGATTCATAAGGAAAGGGGACAGATGATTAGACTCTACAGAAGGTCAATAAGAAGAGTTAGGCACCTCAAAAGGGCTATCTACAGCATCTGGGCATGAGCAAGGGGATGCCTAGGGATAGCCAAAGGAAACATTGCATGCAGGGATATGGCTGAACTGCTTCCCTCCCTCCACTCCTTTCACTGGGGATCAGGCACTTCCATCCACTTGGGATCCAGAGCACCACCATATTCCTACTCACATACATAATAGCCTAAAGCCACAGAGAACTTACCCAGGACAGGGCCAGCCTTACAGGTGGGTGATGTGGGTGCCTGCCCAAAGTGCCATGATCAGTGGGGCTCTGTGCACACACTCGCACACACACAGAGCCCATGTCTACCTCCCTGCTGAATTGCACTCTTCACTCCTGGCTGTCATAGGAGATGGAAGGCCGGGACTAACAGGCCTTAACCTCCTCAAACATGGCTCCATTGCTCCAGTGCTACTGCCATGCCCTGACGTTACAGTGCCATGCCACTCCATGCCCAGTGCCCCTCCCGCACACTGGACCTACAATGGCCCTGCGGCAGGGAGGGGCAGCGCTGTGCCCCCCCCTGCACCCCATCCTGCACAGCCCCCAACATCCCCACTCCCCCCACGTAATATTTTCTCTCATCACTGCTGCTGGCCACCTGCCTCTGCCTCTGCCTGCAGCAGTGCCTTTGACTTGGGGAGGGCTGGCCAGCTGTGGAGCTTGGAGATGATGAGGAAGCAGGACAGGGTGAAGCAGGCTGGCTGTGAGCAGTGCCCACCACCCTGCACCCATGACTGGCTCTGAGTCCTACTACTGCATGAGTCAGCAGCGCCCACTCCTCATGTTCCTGCTGCTCATTGTTGTGGGTACTTGCCTGGCACTGCTCACCATCTTCTTTGCTTTTTGGCTAGTAAAAGATGAGCCCTCCCATTCCCCTACCCCTGCTCTCCCCTTCCCCTACTTAGCAACCACTGGAGGATACCATGGGCAAGCAAGTCTCCCAATCCAGCCCAGCAGCTACAAGGCTTTACTTCTGAAGCTTTGCTAATAGTACTACATACTTAAAGAAAGCGCAGCAAAATACAACTTTACCCAGGGTTGCATTTTCCCTAAAGCTGGCCCTGACTCAGGAAGTGGGATTTGCATTCCTTCTTCACTCATGGGGGCCCAGATCCACCTTCCCAGGGTATGCCCTTCCATATGTGGCTACATAATAATCAGTGGAGGAGGACTACTTTACAACTGATGAAATTTGGGTACTCAGCAGCCAAGAGTGCTAGAGTCATGGGGTCAGAAAGAGGACAAGCAAACTGGGAGTCTGACTCCATAGGCAAGTGATAAATGAACTCCTCAGTGAGGAGTAGACTGGGTTCTGATCCTTGTTGTCAGGGTGTTTTATGCATTTTATATTAGCCAGTCACTGGATAAAAAGTAGTACTAACTCTAAAAGCAGGTATCAGCACCCAAGATTCTCCCTTCTGAAGACAGTGACCTCATCAGTTGGCTACAGATTTAGCCACCCACCCCCTACCCCTCTTTACTTGTTCTTCTCTCTCTATGACTTTTGCACTCTTGGCTGCACATTGGTCCAGCTTCAATAGGTCAATATTCTCTCTCTTCCACTTTGAGGAGGCAGGGTTTGAGAGCAACAAGCTCATCATTTTCATTATAGTTTAAAGACTTGTATCACAAACTCTTGCTTCCCAGCTCTAGTAATCTAAGAATAATGCTCTAAGAAACTATTTTTTATATATTCTGTCTCTACAAGGTGTTTAGAACCTCAAGAAAGGTGGTCATACAACTTACAAGTTTTTAAACCTTCCTTTAAATACAGGGGGATTTTTCTGACTAAGAACAATATGATCCTTAAAACAATTCTTTCGGGAAAGATTTCAGTTGCAAGATTATCCTCATACCAAGGTACAATTTTTGTGCTTACTAAGATTTGACAGGTTTTTGCTTGCTCAGCACTGCTGGACTTTTCTATACATATCAGTAAACAGATGTTTTTTCTGTGTTTTGCTGGTGATAAATGGGGAACTGCCAAACTCCTATCATATAGATAACTGAACAGACATCAGCTGCTATTTTTTAATTAATGCTGACCAGGTTGGGCAGTCTAGTGATGAAAAGTCTATAGGTAAAATATTAAGAACATAAAAGTCCAATTTTCCAAAGTGACTAAAGACTAAGTCTAGACTATAGTAACTGTTGTAACTGTAGCCTCGACATAGTGAGCCACCTCAGTGGGCTTGTACAGCCTAGCTTCATTGTTGTCGGAACTAATCTAGCTAGGTTAAACTTCATGTTGCCTTTATGGGATGAAGTTGGAGCTCTCATTGTTTGGAATTTTCTTAATGTCATTAAAAATTATTGAATATTAGAGCCCTCACGGCCAAGTTTTTAAAGGCGTGTAGATGCCTAAAAGGCTCAGTTATTTATGTATCCAGCTCCCACTGAAATCGCTGAGATTTTCAAAAGTGCCTGAACAACGCTGGATATTGTAAATGCCAGGAGGTGCCTGTCCTCATCTTTAGGCATCTAAGTACTTTTGAGAATGTACCCCTAAGTCCATTTTGAAAATGGGGTGCCTAAATCACTTGAATCCAAGAATTGCTGCAGTGAAGTTCCTTGGAAGAGGGGCAGGCAGGATTCTTTGGTTAGATGTGATATCTTTTATTAGACCAACTAAATAGTTGGGGAACAGGTCTTTGTAAGCTTTCGGGCACAAGCGCCCTTCTTCAGACATTGGGAAACTCTGCTATTGTTCTGAGATCTCCAAGGTAGAAAAGGAGCTAAAAGTGTGACAAGAAGTCTATGAAAATGTAAATAGGTGGAAGTTTGGAAGACAATGGTTAAAGATAGGACGAGAGAGGGGAAGGGGGAGAAAAAATGCAGATGGTAAGCTCAGGCAGGTACCTGGTGAATCAGATGGAGGAAGCTTGTAATATGTCATAAATCCCATGCCTATATTAAGTCCATTATCTTTTATATCCACTAGATTTATGAAATGAAGTTCGTAGGCTCATCTACAAAAGGTGTTTTGTAAGTTCCCTTTGAGGATTAGAACTGAGAGATCAGAGAGGGAGGGATTGTTTTGTGAGAAGTATGCACCCATAGGCAATTGGATTTTTTTGTCTTTGATGGATTCTTGGTGTGCGTTTGTTCTGTTACACAATTGTTGTTTGGTTTCTCCTACATATTTTCCATCAGGGCATTTGGAGCACTGGATGATATTTCTGGAGGTGCAGGTATAAGATCCAGGAATGGTGATGGTTCTGTTGCGGGGTGTAGTTATTGTGGGGGTGGTGGAGATGTGTTGGCAGGTTTTGCATTTCTTGTCCTGGCAGGGTTTGGATTCATTTTGGTTAGTTTGGGTCATAAGAAGTTTGCTTCTGGTAATGGGGTTAGTGAGGTTTGGTGCTTGTTTATAGGCTAGGATGGGTGGTTCTGGAAAGATCTCTTTAAGAATTGGGTCTTCTTCTAGTATGGGTTGCAATTGTTTGAGGATTTTCCATGTAGGTTCCAGGAAAGGATGGTACAGTGAAATCTTTATCTGGCATCCCTGGGGTAAGGGGATTGCCAGTTATGTAAAAATTCCAGTTATCTGAAATAACCCGGCAGGGGTGGTGGTTGCAGTGGCTGCACGTGGAGCAGCAGCAGCACAGGGTGGTGGGTGGCAGTGGCAGCCACTGTGTGCGAGCTTTCCTTCCCCCCCTGCCTTGTCTGGCCAGCTGGCCAGAAATTCCAGTTAATAGAATTTCCGGTTACTTCAATGTCAGATAACAAAGATTTTACTGTATGTCATAACTAATGGTGTGCGATTCATGGGGATTTTCTTTTTGTGCACAGCAAATCTTTGTGTGGTATCCAGGTGGCTCTTTTGAAAGTATGATCTTTCTCTCTGGAGGATTGTCTTTGCTGGGTGAAAGCCCTTTTGAGATTAGTGAGGTGGCGATCACGGGTATTCTCCTTGGTACAAATTCGGTGGTATCGGAGAGCTTGGTTGTAAATTACAGCTCTTTTATTCATAGATTCATAGATGTTAGGGTCGGAATGGACCTCAATAGATCATCGAGTCCGACCCCCTGCATAGGCAGGAAAGAGGGCTGGGGCTAGATGACCCAGCTAGATGCTCATCTAACCCCCT